GACATTAATTAGGGAAAATGCCACAAGCAGGTTTCATACACATAACACTGTGAGCAGGACGCCCACCCCAGAGGACAGTGCCTTCCGCCTCATGTTCTAGAGTCCTACAACCAAAATCTCCTTTAGAATGCCCTTCTCTGCTCCCTCACCACACCCCACTCACAGGGTTTGTCCTTGGTCAGAGAGGACCCAGCGTTCAGAGGTGCATCTGTGTGAGTTACCGTCCCACCCGGGGAAGAAGGTACTTTGCTTGCTCTGCCATCAGAGCACTTGCTCTGGCCACCCCACCAGCCGTGGTTCCACTCACTGGACACCTCCTACCACCCTGCTGTGACCTCTGCAGTCCATCTCTGGAGGTGCCACCCAGCTCTCAGCCGGCTGGGAAGAGACACTGACCCACCGCAAGTGATTTCAGCTATTTTGAGCATTTAACATAACAAAAGGCTTCTAATGAAACCTATTTAGCTCTAGTTTTAAACAATGGGGAGGAACAGGTTAAACCTGACCAGGCACTTCCTGGCTGAGATCCCTGTCCCCACCCTCTCTTACTTTCCAGGGCTCTGGCATTCAAGCCCCTGGCGTACCGAGGCACTTTCAGCTGAAGGTGACCCCTCAGTTGGGACAGGTTAAGCACAGTTCTGCTCCCCTTTATTCATACAATAAAGACAACAACATTTCACTCCCCCTGAAGTCAGTACTAACGTGATTTGTACCCCACGCCGGCCAAAGCTGATCACTTTGAGCAGCACCGCTCTGTCTGCTGGATACCGACGCAGAGTTGGGGTGTTCATGTAAATACGGTTTGCTCCTGACGTCTCTCCTGCTCCCCGCTGGCTGTCGGGAGAATTCATCCAGACCTGGATTACAGCAGCAAAGTCCATCTTAGCGGGATCCAGGGCCTAGCGCGCCGGACTCCCCCCTCTGGGTCTCAAAGCACGACACTGACCAGTTCCAGCTGCCTGGTCTCCTCACCCCCATTGCTCCTCCTCCATCCTTTGTCTCTTTCTCCAGCAAGCAGGTCACCTGGGCTGCACCAACTCCTCCGCCCGGCTGCTGCAGAGGAGGGGGCCCGGCCCTCCTTTGCCAGGATACAGTGTCGGCTTTTTTCTGGGCCCAGGCAGCCAGGATGGGCAGGGAGGGTGTCCCTAGCCTCTGTTTGCCAGAAGCTGGGAATGGGCGACAGGGGATGGATCACTTGATGATTACCTGTTCTGTTCATTCCCTCTGGGGCACCTGGCATTGGCCACTGTCGGAAGACGGGACACTGGGCTAGAGGGACCTTTGGTCTGACCCAGTATGGCCGTTCTTAGGAGCAGTCAGACCTGCCATTGAGGGGCCTCTACAATGATCACACACCCTGATCCCGCCACCTAGATCCTCGAGTAACACACAGGGGAAACTGAGGCACACACCGTATTCAGAAAAAACGTTGAGAACATTCCCACTTTGTCACAGGCCGGGCATCTGTAACGGATCCGCTGGGGCCCAACCAGCACGGCGGGGCTTGATGCAGGAATCGCTGGGTGAGGTCTCTGGCCAGAACAGCACGGGGGTCAGGGGGGCGATCTCCTGACACTGGAGAACAGAAGGGAACAGCCCCAGCGAGTCAGTGACCTGACGGCTAATCCAACCCACAAGTCCTGGCTCCCACCCCAGCACTAGACACCTTCCCTCCCAGAGCTGGGGAGAGAACCCAGGAGTCCTGGCTCCCAGCCCCTTGCCCTGACCACTGGCCCCCTTGCTCCCTGGTGGAGGTCAGTGGAAGAGGCGGGGGCTATTGTGGGGCTGGAGGGGGGGTGGCCCCTGAGCCCCTCCAGTGATGTGCGTGCGGCTCCCCCTGCAGGAGAACAGTCGGCGGCAGAAGCAGCACCTGAGCCAGCGTTTCGACTCCCTCTACAGCACCCTGGAGGAGCGCAAGAAGGAACTGGTGCAGCGCGTCAGCCGGGAGCAGGAGGAGCGGGTCAGCCACGTGCGCTCCCTCATCCGCCAGTACGGGGAGCACCTGGAGATCTCCGCCAAGCTGGTGGAGTCGGCCATCCAGGCCATGGAGGAGCCCCAGATGGCCGCGTACCTGCAGGTCTGTGCGGGGAGGGGGGTGTCTGGGAAGGGGAGGGCAGGAGAGGGGCTTCTCCACGCTGGGATCTGGCCAAGCCGTGGGCACCATCCTCCTGGGATGGGCAAAGGGCTCGGGGGCAGGGGCCTGCTAGGCCACGGGCGCCTGTGGTTGCCTCTCTGCCCCCAGCCAGAAGGTCCTGCTTGGCTGAGGGGTAAAGCCCGATGGCTGCTCATCCTACAGGCCACTTGGAAGGGAAACTTGGTCTTGAGCCTGCCCCCAGCCAGAGCTGGTGCCAATGCCAGTGCCAGCCTGCAGCTGATGGACCAGGGCCTGTGGGCTCAGGGGGCTGGCGGGGGCTGGGCTCCAGGAGCAGGGGCTGATGCTAACCAAGCTCTCTGCCTCTCCCTCCCTGCAGCAATCCAAGGAGCTGCTTAAAAAGTAAGTCTGGGGGGTGGGGTGGGGGGAGACAACAGAGGAGAGAAACCTCCGGTTGGAGCCCATCCCTGTAGGGGTCGGGGGTCCTTGGGGCAGAGTCACAGATCCATGGGGCCAGTGCTAAGCCGCCAGCCTGGGAACAGTCTCTGGGAGGAGCCTTCAGTGACCCTGCCCCCCCCCCCCGGTCTCACTCTTCCCCCAGGGTGAGCCACGTGGCCTCCTCGCCTCCTGAGACTGGGCCCCTGAGCCTGCAGCCCCCCTGCCCCACCCCGGGAGCGCCGGGCAGCGAGTCTGGGACAGACCCTGGGGGAGACGTGTCCTCTCCTCAGGGATCAGTGCCCCTCGCCCAGCGTCTGCAGGGACACTCACCCAGCGCTGTCAGACCAGGCGGGTTTATTAGTCACCTGGCACACGGCCCAGGCAGCCCCTTGGGCGGCCCAGAGAACTGACGGTTACAGCCCAGCCCAGCTGCAGTGACCCCCGTGGTTCAAGCTCTGTCTGTCTCCATCCAACCTCCTTGGTCAGACTCCAGGTGAGAGCCCTGCCCCCGACTCCTGCCAGCCCCCAGCTCTTAGCCCCCCTCGCACCTCCCAGCCCCTGTTCCCCAGCTGGGGAGACGCTGCTCGGCTCCTGCGGAGAGGTGGGGCCAGGTGTCCATGTCCCACAATTAGATTTGCCAGCGTTGCCATGGATTCTCCATTGATCCGGGGTTGGCTTCAGCCAGTTGGTTCCCAATGACCCACGTAGTCCCAGCCACGGGGCGGGCGCCATTCCCATCTGTGCCTGAGCCTGCCTGGGGGTGCCCAGCCCTCCCCTCACTGGGTAACGATGCAGCTGTAACGATGCTGGTTCTGGCGGGACCCAACGGAGAGCGCCAGTTCACGACAGATTGCTGAGAGCAGGGCAGTCACAGCCCCAGGCTGGGGGTCCTTTGCACACCAAGGCACCAAACCAGCCCCACACACAGCTCTGCCAGTGCCCCCATCCCGCCCCACGGCCCCCTGGCGCCCCAGCCCTGGGCGCCCCACACACAGCTCTGCCAGTGCCCCCATCCCGTCCCACGGCCCCCTGGTACCCCAGCCCTGGGCGCCCCACACACAGCTCTGCTGCCCCCCTCAATCCCAGAGGGTGGGGGGGTTGGTCAGGCTGTGCAGGGGTGTCACGGAGTCAGGCTTGATGCCCTGCATTGGCTTTGAGTGAAGATTTGTGAGTCTGACAAGCCCCCGGCTCTGCCTGGCAGGATCACGGACACGTCGAAGGTGTCAATGAGTAGCCGCCCGGAGCCCGGCTACGAGAAGATGGACCACTTCTCTGTCAATGTGGACAACCTGGCCGAGATGCTGAGAACCATCGAATTCCAGACAGGTGACCCAGGGGGTGTGGCACCGGCGGGTCCTCCTGGGGCCCTGGTGCGAGCCCCGGCCCTGGGTGCTGTGCGGGGTGGGCAGAGCCGCTGCTCGGCCCAGACGTCCATCTGTGTGCACCAAGGCAGGGGCAGGGCTGGTGTTAGCTGTGGTAGGGGGATCCCGCAGAGGGGTGTGGGGCCCAGGGTGTACAGGCTCTTGGAGGGGGTGTGGCTGGGGTGCAGGTGGGGGGATGGGGCGCAGGAGGGGGTGGCAGAGCATTGATCTCAGCCTCCTGGGGTGGCTGCCAGCACGGCCCCTCCCCGGCAGTGGGTCCCGGCTTCTGCCCCTCTCCGTGCACAGCTGGCTGTGTGCTGGGGGCAGGATGCCTGGCAGGGACCCCAGGACTGGCTGAGCTGGGTGCAGGTGGCATGGCCGGAGCATCCTATCCGGCTGCCCCACGCCTCCGCCCTGCTGGGCTCTCTGGGGCAGCCTGGCCAGGGACCCTCAGTGGGGAGGGTGGGGCAGGCTCAGCCCCCACCGGCGCGGGTGCTGACTCTGGATTCCCTCGCTCTCCCAGACTCGCTGGGTGAGGACGACATGGACGGGTTTGCGGGCGGGGATGGAGGAGACGCTGGAGCCGACGAGGACAGGCCGGAGGGGCCAGAGGCGCTAGAGGGGGCCGAAGGTGAGTGCCTGGAGTGAGGGACAGTCACCCCGGGCACACGAGGGTAACAGCCTCCTCCTGCTGTAGAGAGCCCCCGAGAGCCCCCAGCTAGCAGGGCCCGTGACCATGTGCTTTGCCCCCGTACGACCCGGGCCAGAGACCTGCCCCAGAGCAGAGCTGGCTGCACTGAGCTGTCAGTGCCGGAGAAGCACCCGGCCCCGGGGGATTGTCCACTGGCTAATTACCTCCCCGTTAAACACCGACCCCCATTGCCAGTGGGGATCTGTACCGCTTTGGCTTCGCCCTTCCTCCACCTGCCCGCACAGCCCCTTGGGCGACGCTTGTTCCCGCGGAGGTACTGCCAGAGCAGGGCTTCTCTGCCCGGGGGTCGGGACCCAGACTGTGTCGAAGGGTCGTGTGGCAGCTCCTGTCCCACGGGGCTGGCTGGGCTCCCTCTTGGTCCCTGCCAGGGGCTACGGATTCTTCCTAAAGGTGGGGGGGCCACGAGGCCCCCCTCCGCGGCCCCGCCCCTGCCCCTCCTCTTCCCCTGAGACCCCACCCCCTGGCCAAGCCAGAAGCCGGAGCTGGGCCAGGGAGGCTGGGCCCCTTCACCTGCTCGGGGTGGGGGAGCCGAAGAGCAGCCCCTGTGTCCCCGACCCCCCGGCCCCCCTCCCAGGGCAGGTGGAGGGTCCACGGCGCCCCACAGCTGCCCGCGCGGCTCTTACCCTGGCCTGGCTCCGACTCCCAGCCTGGCCGGGGGGGGGCAGGCCCTTGGGGGCCCAAGAGCCACAGCCGGACCATGGGGTGGGGACACAGGCCAGGGCCTGCTCTCAGCCCCGCCCCATGCCCCGGGCAGGTAGCGGGTCCGTGGCTACCTACAGCTCCCCGGCTGCAGAGAGCCAAGCCCAACCCCCCCACAGCACAGGAGCCGGGCAGGCCCCAACCCCCCTGGAGGGGCAGGACCTGTTCAAAACCACCCCAGGGCCCCCACCCCCAGACTAGTTACTGGGTCGCGCCATTTACAGATGGGCCCTGAGCCCACAAAGGCGGAGCAGCCGCTGCTCTAGGCTGGGATCACGTCACCCCTTGGACCCTCCCTTGGTCTAGGTTGAGCTCCTGGCGGGTCACTGAGGCAGGTTTCTAACCCTTCGATCGTTCCCGCGGCTCTTCCCTGACCCCTCTCCAGTTTATCAACCTCCCTCCTGCTCTCACCCCTGGCCACTTAGTGCTGGGGCCGCTGGGCAGGGGCATGTCTGACCCTCTGTCACAGACCCCCAGGGCTGGGCTATGCCCCAGCCTGGGAACAGGCAATTAATTGATCTTTGACTACTAGCGGTAAATCTGACCAATGGCTTGTGATGGGATGTTAGATGGGGTGGGATCTGAGTTACTACAGAGAATTCTTTCCTGGGTGTCTGGCTG